TTGTTATCCTGAATATCATCCCGAACACGGTCGAGGAGGACAAGGGAGAAAAAACGTTGACTCTGCTTGGGCTTGAGGTTCGATACAAAGATCCTCGTGGCTTGGAAGACGGCGTGAGGAGTCCATTTGTCTGGTTCGGTCAGATAAAGAATATCCTCCCAATTGGCCAGAGAGGGGATGATCTTGAAGGCTTTAGGGAGCCTTCCCGACTTGTACCTCGACAGAAGTTGGGCCACCTGGCCATACACCGCCGCGACCTTGGGGTTGACACCAGGGGGCAAAGCATTTTCTTCTATGGCATTAGGAAGATGAGGAAGGGAAGATAGGATGAGACATGGAGATGCGTAGATACACCCCTCTTTATTCCATGCTCATTCTTTATGAAAGGAAGCAGCTTACCCTCGTTATCGGCACCGGCGCCGGCTTCATGAGCCCGGATCTTGGCCATGATGAGATCCGCCAGATTTTGCCGTTCCCCCGGAGCAGAGGGGATGAATCGGCTGAGAATGGCCTCTTGATCCGCATCTACCATCTGGAGGAGGGAGGGACGATGAGGCAAAGGCTAGTGACATTGGGAGTCAAAATAGCCCGTGACTTACCATGTCAGCTTCTCCTCCATCCAAGTCAATAAATTCCTCTACTTCTTCTATCTCCTCTTCCTCTTCGCTATCCGAATCAGCAGTGGCCCCGACAGCCTGGATTACTTCCTGTCTCCGTAGCTTAACCCCTCCCATATCTTCCTCACCCTCGGCCATCTCATCTTGCTGCTCACGAGCAATGTTGAGAATCTTCTTGGAAAGGCTAGACCCAACAAATTCCTGTAGAACAAGTGTGTGGAAAGGAAATGAGTGATTGTGATAGCTGCAGCCCTGATTCATGCACTCTTCTATCGCCCTTGGGTACAGCTACGCAACGCTCTCTTACCTCAGACTGTTCGGTACGGTTCTTACGCTCCAAAAACTTGGCACGGATGGGCCTTGCTCCCAACTTCTCCCCACCTGCCTCGGTGGCGAGCTCCGCGTAAAGCGGATCATGTCTCTGGACCTTACTTGCCCCACGTTGTTTGCCCATGATAAAGTCGGAAAAGTATGTTGCTATTGTCAGGGAGTTGAAATGAGGAGGAAGAGAATGTGCTCACTCAAAGGGCAAAGAGAAAGAAAAGGAAAGGAAAGAGGGATGTGTAGAGGGCTAGCTAGCGCTTTGGTCCCAAGATTCGACTTTCTACCTTGGTCAGATCAACCACAGCAGAACCTCAGGCAAAAGGTCACTGGCGCGCTCCCTAGTGGAAGGGTTGTATACCACCCCCTTTCTTGCTCCCTCCACTGACTGACTGTGTGGATACAGCTTCTTGTGGCTTGCTCCATAAAGTGACACGGGGCGTTGGGGGGAAAAAAAGAAAAAAAGTCCACACATCTGACTGACCTTACTTGCATGCCAGGGCCCTAGTCATTTTTCCGGAAAAAGAGTTATCATTTTGCTAGTTTTGATTATTGATGCCATTACCAACCCTGGTGACAAGGTCAGCATATTCGCTGTTTACTACTACTACAAGGTCAACATGGATAAACCTTGCTATCACAAGGATTTGAGTAGGCCTTTTGAGGCCCTACATAATGAATAATACCCAACTCTGGAATCACAAGGGATGTGCAGGATAAAAGTAGAAATGCACCACGTATTATCTTGTTAACAGCAATGATATTATTAATGATTTGTAACATCACTGAGGGCATGTGATGCTAAAGCGGAGAAAGGAGGGATGTTTGTTTATTTTGTAATAGAGGGAAGGTGAGCTGTATAAAGGTCCAACTAATCCTGAGCAAAATATACTTTTTGCAGACATACCTAAAAATCCTGGGTGGTAGATTCTCTAGATACAAAACTATTCGTAGATACCTGATGCGTGATGATAATGAGAAATGTAGGATAGAGATCAGGTCCTTCCTACTTATTCATCGCTCATCTCTACTCTCTAATAATGATGATATGGGCTAGCCTCTGGATCGTTCATCTCATCTCATCTTGAGCTCCGCAAACAGATATATATATTCATTACATTGGTAGTCAGTTACATACCTTTCCTAGATACAGAGAGGATTAGGTAAAATGATTGGTTGAAATGAGGGGGACAACATTTAATCTCGTCTCTCGCTTCAAATGTATCATCTATCACATAAGATGAGCAACGTGTTCGGATACTCTTTAGCCTAGCCCACTGGGGAAAACAGAAATATTTTATTGTCATCATGTATCATCCGTCGCATTGATGTCTCCTAGGAGGTGAGAATTGCAGAAAGATGGGATACATTTACAATGTTGTTGATCCCCACTGCGAAAATAATGATTGACCCAAACAGCATTGCCAAAGTGACCGCTTGATAAGCGATGTGTGGATTTAAATCTTCTGACCAAGGTGCGTCTACTTGGCGCATCTCGTGTCCATGACCACACGCCGAGTAGCCCCAGGATACTATGGTGGTATCTGGGCCGCCGTGTACTCATCATTCTATAAATCCTCTTGATAATCCCCTTCCACCAACCCTTCTTCCTTCCTTCAACACAACGCGCTCTCAACCCGTCCTTACACCTCCTTCCTGTGAATCCATCTTCCTTTCTCTTAGCCCATCGCCTTATCCCTCAGCACAATATGCAAGTAAGTGCTTTCCTCCGAGTCACGAGTGATGTGCACTGGGCTGAGCATTGGTAGTTCACTCACATCCCTTACCCTGTAGCTCACCGTAAAGCCATCCATGGAAGAGGTGGAGAAGGCCTTTGCTGACAACAAAGGCAATCTCCATCCCGTCTATGTGGATATGCCAGCTGACCTCTTGACCCCGGTAGCCGCGTATCTCAAGGTGTCGGGCCTTCGACCAAACACCTTTATTTTTGAGTCGGTGGCCGGAGGCGAGAAGCTCTCGAGATACAGCTTCATCGGAGCTGACCCTTACAAGGTCATCCGGTCTGGACCGGGGTGTGAGCACAGCGGCGACCCTTTGGACTTTGTCGAGAAGGAGATGAAAGGGATTCGACTGATCAAGCTGCCCGACATTCCCAGTTTTACGGGTAGGTCCATGTCGTGTCTCTCGTACCCATATCCCCCGGGGATCTATCACCTCGCTTACCCCTTTCTTTTTTTACATCTCAATAGGTGGAGCCATTGGTTTTGTTGCCTTTGATTGCATCGAATACTTTGAGCCCAAGACCAAGATGGATTTGAAAGATGGTCTAGGTATTCCCGAGAGTATACTCATGTTCATGGATACCATCCTCGTGTTTGACCATCTGAGGCAGCGCCTTCAAATCATTACCCATGTCCGTCATCCAGAGGGAGGAGAAGGGGGAAAGGCCTTAGAAGAAGAAATTCGTGCACGGTATCACACCGCCCAAGGCTTCCTACATACCTTGGTCAATACCCTGGCTTCCGATCATACACCCCTTCCACCTCAGCCCCCTATTACTCAGAGGTTTGAAACTGTGTCCAATGTTGGCCAGGATGGATACCAGGGCTTTGTACGAAGCCTCAAGTCCCACATTGTCGACGGAGATATTATTCAGGCCGTGCCCTCCCAGAGATTGGCCCTCCCCACGAAGCTACATCCCTTCAATGCCTACAGGAACCTTCGGGGCATGAACCCATCCCCATACATGTTTTATGTGGATCTGGGAGATTTTCAGCTGGTTGGCGCATCTCCGGAGATGCTAGTGAAGGTGGAAGATGGGACAGTGTATACTCATCCCATTGCCGGAACCCGTAAGCGAGGGAGGACCCCAGAGGAGGATGAAGCCTTGGCCAGTGAGTTGCTTGCCGATGTCAAGGAGCGATCCGAGCACGTGATGCTTGTCGACCTTGGGAGGAATGATGTGAACCGTATCTGTGATCCCGAGACCGTTGAAGTAAGCTCCCTGATGCACATTGAACGATACTCGCATGTCATGCACATTGTCAGTAATGTGTCGGGGAAGCTGAGGCCTGAGTGCACGCCCTTGGACGCCTTCCGGTCCATCTTCCCAGCCGGTACTGTGTCGGGCGCCCCCAAAGTTAAGGCGTGCCAAATCATCCGTGGTCTTGAGGGAGAGCGCCGTGGCGTATATGCCGGCTCCGTGGGTCACTTTGATTATAGTGGCGACTTGGACACATGTATTGCCATCCGTACCATGGTCTTTAAGGATGGTACGGCATACTTGCAGGCCGGCGGTGGTATTGTTTATGATTCTGAAGAGGTGGCCGAGTGGGAAGAGACCATGAACAAGCTGGGAAGTAGTGTCGCAGCTATCCGTAATGCTGAGGCCCATTTTAAGGAGGGATCCTCTCTTTAATTAGGATAAAATGATTAACTCTGTAGCAGGGGATAGAGTGCACTAGGGCGTCTACAATAGACCGTTCTTTCTCTATATCCCCTTTACCCTTGTCTATGATCCTTCTGTTGGTGAGGAAGAAGAATAAAATAAATTGATCGTTCAATACCTTTTGCATTAGTCTCAAGGATACACATTCCATTTCTCTCCATTTTTCTGCCTCTTCTTTCTCGTGAACCTGACTTAGTTAAGATGACTCTTGATAATAATTGATTCCCAGCCAAGAGCATACCCTTAAGCCCCATTTTGCCGTCCGAGCGTTTCTTACAATGGGGAGAGCCAAGCCCTGATTAAGATCCCCAAGTCCTGGACTCTCCAAGGTCCACCCTGATATTTGGATCTCAATTCCCTACACACCATATATAGCTATCAGTATGATGCATTTTCCTAATTCCTCTTAAAATAAGGAGGATACTTTATTTTGAATCGGCTTCCTCGAATATTCATCCATCTATATCAGTTTTTTTTTCTTGCAAAATTGGCATATATTTTAAAATAGAGCCCATACAGTGTGAGTGGAACCCACATAAGAGATCATTGAGAAGAGAGGAATGGAAAACAGGGGGCCATCTATATCTTGGTATTGTTTGAGGGCAGTCCAAGCATTTTAAATAATTAAAGATTAAAAAAACAACATTTTCTCATCGGTGATAGTATAGTGGTGAGTATCCCCGCCTGTCACGCGGGAGACCGGGGTTCAATTCCCCGTCACCGAGTTTCTTTTTCCTGCATTTCAGCACTTAAAGGTATTAGTGTAACTGATGGTCAGAGATTTGGGCTGTAAAGCTTGTTTTTCCTTCTGTCTTGGTGTAAACCGTCAGGCATGTCAAGCTCGTTGGAACATGATGTAATTGTCTGGGGTGGATCGATGGTAACTTTAACTTGTAGAACAGGGCAACCCCTAGTCAGGATGACTCGATCTTGTAAGTGGCGGGGTTGACACGGCGCTCTGGTGGATTCTTAATATTCATCGCACGCTCATGAATGGAGCGGATACTGCTGTCATGGGCATTGGACCTGGCAGATTCTTTATCCTTCCTTCCTTCTGTCTGCAGCTTTCTTCAACACGCAACACTTCCGTATCTTCACACAAGCACACATCCATTCCATCTCCATACCATTCCTTCCATTCTTCACGATGGAGGATAGTTCTGATGCTCAAGGGCTAGCTCGACTAGGTATGACTTTTTAAGCGTTTTGTCAGATGTATTGAATGTTTTATAGGCCTCACTTACCGTGGCTTCTGCCTGCGGAAAATATCTGATAATCCCTTTCTTTCTTTCCTAAGCTGTGGGCGACACATTTGCGGATGACTACATTGTTACAGAGGATTGGTCGGCCACTGAGCCGACCATGGTGTGTAAGGCAAAGAACCTTTTCAACGACGGTGCGGTGGCCATTAAGTTTTACCAGAACAAGGAACGATTTCAGAAGGAGTTAACTATTCTCTACGAGATGCAAGCGGCCAAGACCAAGATGTCTCGTCAAGACTCTTTTTTGACCACAGATGTAAGTTGTGATGGTATCTGCAGAGTTAAGTGAGGAGGCTAGATATCACCTATACTCATCATGCATAGAGACTGCCTTGTGGGGAGTAGAACATTGTCAATATGCTGGATACGTTAGAGGAGGAGGACGACGAGGAAAAGGACCAATGGTCGCCGTTTGATGTCATCATCTTTGATCTTGGGAAAATAACTCTCCAAGCGTACGGTGAAGGGACCAAGTTCCTTGAAAGCTCCTTTCAGCCCATTTTTAAGGTAGGAAGTTATCTTCACAGTCCAGGGATTTCCAGTCTTCACGACCCCTCGCATAAGGGATATGTACTGCATGGAGGAGACAAAGGGATCCCTTCCTTATCTACTTATCGCTCACTGAGTCTTTATTCGGGGTTACTTAGGACATCTCTGATGGATTAGAAGCCCTCCATTCCCTGGGGATCGGTAAGTGCGGCGCTTGACGTGATCTATTCAACATGTTGCCAACTGATCCTATCATCAATATTCTCTTCATCTATTAAATAACCGTTGGTAGTACATGGAAATTTCCAGCCCAAAAACATCATGCGGTTTGACGTTCCTGGGAGCCCACCGGCCTGGAAGTTAATTGATTTCCAGCATTCGTCCAGGTGAGTCATCCTATTTCGCACGCTTTCATCATTGTTATGCGATGTAATTTTATGGTAACATTTGGGTGAGGCTAGGAATATTTAACTCAGCGCTACATTTCTTTCTTATATTCACGTTAAGGGTGGGCGAAGATGTATCGCATTGCACGGTGGAGTACAGTGCTCCTGAGATTTACGCAGCAAAAAGTAGGGGAGACGTGATTAAGGCTAGTACCATACATGATATGTTTTCCCTGGGTCAAGTCCTCCATTGGATGTCCTCCAAGAGAAACATATGGACCGATATTTCCGCGGATGAGGATGAGGAGCTTGGAAAAGCAGAGCTTCTTATGGAATTTACCGACTTTGACATTAGGCAGAATGATTTTGATAGCCGCTCCACGTATCTCCTCGTCGTCGAACTCCTTCGGAAAGATGCCATTCGGCGTATGACTATGGAGAGAATGAAGGTATGGAGAAGATGGGGATAAGGGGAGCGGTGACTTTTTCCTATGCCTTGTGTAGCTTTTTCTCATTTCTGAGGCCGCTCCATCCAGAACCGGCCCATATATCCCCTTGACCAGCCGGAACGGTTCATGCCCAAGTCTGCACAAACCAAATTGGATGCCTCCAGGGGAATGGCGGTCAATTATCCTGCACTCCTGAAGCACACGTACTTTCGACGGTTATGGAGGAAGCACAATTGGCAAGATAGTACCTCAGTCTTGCAGTTGGAGACAGCCCTTCGGGATATCCTAGAGGGGGATGATGAGGCGGTAAATTGTATCAGGCCCTTTCTGGAGGTGTGTGGTGTGGAGTATTATCAGGAGATCACCGCAGAGAAAGGCAACCTCATGTTTCCTGGTAAAGTGACTCTCGTACCTCTGGCCAATTGGATCATTTACAGAGTTCATGAGAATCAAACGCAAAAGCATATTCTGTAAGTGGGTCTATCTAAGGTTGTTTTGCTATGTAGAAGAAGGTCCGTGCTCATGCTCCCTTCTCTACTTTCACTCCATCGAAATCCATGTGGGTCCCTCCTTTTCTAGGGTAGATGGAATTCGGAAACAGTTACGGAAGTGTCTTCAGGTCGCCAATTTTGACTACTACTATCACGAAAAAAAGTTTAACAGGGCATTCGGGCGTCTCGAGGCCCTCCTAAAATGCCTTGAACGAGCTTCCTTTCTCAGGAAGTCGATGGCGCAGCGAGTCCTTGATATTGTACCAGAGGACGAAAAGGGACTCTTACCGGCTGAGGAGAAATATCCCTTTGAGGAGATGTCAAAGCAGATCCAGATAATTACACAGCTCTTTGAGGACGGGACCAGGGCAATGCTCTGGACTGATAAGGTAGGGGACAACTTATGAGCATTTGAGCAATCGCGATGGTTTTATTACTCAGCACGGGTCAACTGACATCCATCTCCTCAAATCATCTCCCATTACTTCTGTGTATATGATCTCTGGACGTCCCTTCATAAAAGAGCGATGTGTCTGCCCTGGGAGAGCGACTGGATGTTTGGACTGATACATTATCCGATGTTTGTCGGACCTTTCCAAGTGTGGATATTGCCCAAGCCGATGTGATTGGGACCATGGAGGAAAATCGTCAGGATGCTACTGATGACAAAAGGGCTTTGGGAAAGAGGTTTGAGGCAATCAAGAGCCTGATGAACCCAAGTACCGAATCTCCTGATCGTATTAAAGCGCTGGTGGAGGTTGCAATGAAGGGTAGTTCGAACTCCCCGGCAGAAGCTGATGATACCTTGATTCAGAGGGCAGAGGCTATGCGGGACCTGGCCTTATTTTACTACGGGGGTCACGGATCCATTGCTCCCAACATGGGTCATGCTCTTTTTTGGGCCAAGTGTGCGCTCTTCAGCAAAAGTCCGGATGCATACACCCTTGCTGGGTTGCTCATCCTTGAGCTATCTTCTTCCTCCACCCATCCCATCAAGTCCCTCCGAGAAGATATGGCCCGTCGTCTATTGCAAACAGCTGTTGATTTGGGTAGTACCCGTGCCTTACCAGCCCTGGCTTCAATGTGGGAAGTTGCTCAGGGCTCTTTTACAGCTGATCCTGATAAAGCTGTCCTGCTTTACATCCAGGCCATTGAGGAAGGAGGGTTGGTAGTGGCCATGGAGGCCCTGACACGCTATTATCTCGCGTGCAACCAATCGCGACGGGCTCTTTCCTGGGGAGAGAAGGCTATTGCTGAAGGCTCCGTTGTAGTGGGAGTAAGGTTAGGAGACGCTTTCCGACATGGCCATGCAGGCTTGACAATTGATCCTGTAAAGGCGTTTTATTACTACAAAGAGGCGGTGGATCGGTATCACTTTCTCGAATCAAACTCTCCACCTGACCCATTAAAATGTCTCACCCAGGATCGATGTCGTCGTCAGGATCAGGTAGAGCCTTCCGACGCCCTAGTACGTCTCGGAGAAATGTATTACCTAGGTCTAGGAACGACACTAGGTCGCGCAGATGGACTTTCCCAATGGAAGGAGGCGGAAGAGGTAAATGGGGATGCCAAGGCACATCTAGTGTTTGATCAATGGAAAGCATATGAAGCGAGGCGGAAGAAAATGTCGGGCGTCGTACCTTTTATGCAGGGTGAAGGTGAGCGCTTAGATCAGAGCGGCGACCCTTCGGAAGACGCGCTTGCGGCACCCACGGACACTCTGAGTATTCTGAACGCCTATCGGGGGACCACTCAAACAGGAAGCGCCCTTGGTAACCTGGCTTGCGGATACTGCTACTACCGAGGAATAGGATGTGAAGTGGATTACCACAAGGCTCGCCAGTACCTGGAGCAGGCCATTCAACTGGGAAGCGATCGTGCTCTTACTTTAATCGGGATACTCCTCTTTGACGCGCGGTATCCTCAAAGGAATGCAGAGGAAGCAATGCGCCGCTTCAAGGAGGCAGATGAACGAGGGGATCCCATGGGACGTACCATGCGTGCCATCCTCCTTTATCACGGAGAGTGTGGGGCCAGGGACGAGGAGTCTGCCCTCGCGACCCTTCGCGAAATGGCTGATGGTCCTGTTCACTCAGGGGTATTGAGTCTGGAATGGTGTCATCGCCTAGACACGAGCCAAGAGGCCGGTGAGCCCGAAGCCATGTATGCACTTGGACGGTACTACCAGGCACATTCTGGTCCTTCCTTCCTTCCTTCTCCTCAGAGGGAGGAAAAAAGAGGATTGGAGATGCAAGAGCAAGAAAGGCGGACTGAGGGCTTATCCAAAGCATGGATGTACTTTTCTCGAGCGGCTCACCTGAATCACGCAGATGCTGCTTTTGCTGCATACCAATGCTGTCGCTATGGGGAGGGAGTGGGGGCGAACGATGTAATGGCCCGGCAATACCTGGCTTTAGCAACCTTTCTGGGTCTCCCTGAAGCCCAGGAACTAGCCAGGGATGCAGGGTTGCCTAATACTTTACTTTCTTCCCCGACCCCTGCTGGGTGGGCGGAAATAGATAGTCAAGTTGTGCCGGCATCCTTCCGTACAGGTGGATCCTGGGAACAGTGTCCGAGTAGAGGACGATCTGTACTTCAATTGGTAAGTAATTTCTTGCGGCACTTCCGGATCGGCCCCTACCGTCGGG